TTCGATACAAAATATGTATTCAACAATTTTGATATCATATTTGAGTAATATGTTATCAACATTTAAATTTCTGATGAGACACAAATAACGATATCACTCTTTACAGTGTTACAAGGCATTTTAATGCAAATAAACAAAATTTGTATCTTAAAAATTATATAAAATCGAAAATTCATAAAATTTCTTTTGCGGGCCGAACTGGCGCAACGGCGAAAACTAGAAAACGTTTTTAGGTAACATTAAAAATATCATGCGAATTCTGGCGACAGTCGTGCGGGTCATGCTAATGGCGTGTAAATATTGGAATTATGTAAAATCGAAAAATTCGCAAAATTTCTATTGCGGGCCGGGCTGAAAGCGCAACGGCGGTTAAACGGTTTTTAGCATTAAAAATGTCGATGCGAATATAATGGCGATGCTAAATATTGGTTTATCTGTATAGTCGATAATTGGAAATGTTTAGTATTGGGTGACTGGCGATAACGTTGCGCCAGCCCGGCTCATCATTTTGCAGTTTAGCCATTAATCTAATATCGGATCAAATTCATTCTTAGCCTGCAAATTACTCTAACATACGTGCTAAATATTAGTGCAAAATTTTTTCAATATTTCCAAATGGGCCGGGCTGTCGCAATGTACGTGTTATTAAGTTAGATTGCAAGTTCTTTAATCGTCACTTACTCATTTATCACTTTTTATGTGCTTTTGTACACGCGTCGCGGCCGTCGCGCGCATCAAAAAACCGTTTGCATGTCAGTTGACAATTTGACACTATTATAAATAATTGTAATTTGTAATAAAGGTTTTATACACTATATAGTGATCGTAGTGTTTATTCTTCAACATTTATGTAGAAATGGACCAGAAACGACATAATAGTGATTCACAAGGAAAAACATGTGCAAGTTAAAATAAAGAAAAATAAGTGATTTTACTCAGTAAAATATAAATAACGGGAAAAATTTATTTTATTAGAAATTTGTATCATGTGATCATTAATACTTTTAAATGTCAATTTAGTTCGAAACGACAAACTTATGAAAAAATATCAGATATTTATGGGTATATAGTGTATACGGTATACCGATATTATAAAAAATACCAAGTTCTGTTGCTGTAAGAAGCACAATATGTGAAACGTTGGTAACTTATTTTATTGATGATGTTAAAAGTTTAAGCTTACTTGTAGATGAGTAAATACTTTTTTTTAAATTCGTTTCGATGGATAAAAATGTAAAATCTGTTCTCAAAATCTTTTTTTAATGGCTTGTAAAATACACTATGATTTAATTTGTATTACTTAATAGCACATAGAGGTTAGTGATGAGTGATACCTACACTCAATTATAATACAGGTTCACTCGAAATATAATATATAATGTAGGTTCTGTATAATATTGTTTAGAACACTTACTAATAAAATGCGTTTTATATAGAAAAAACATAAAATAAATATAACATAATATTTTATACTTTCCAATAGGTAATTATTAATAAAATATTAGATAATAAAATTAATGGTATAAGTAAATATTTCTCAATAATAAAGTAGAACAAATTTAAATTTTAAAAATGTTCTCGCAATTTTCTCAGCCAAAATACCTACATACTACTATATTATTATAGAAATAACGAAAAGTACCCACATTATACAACCGGCTTATTACTCAGTAAATACTATGCTGCAGTAATAGTTTTCACTACAATAATATACAACGTGTATATAATATTATAAATTATAATACCTTATAATTTTAATAAGTATTTTAATAACTTATCTAATTCTGTAGAAACACATTATTATGAAATATATAAAGTGTGAACATGAGAGTAAACAGTGGATAAGAGTATAGAAAAAAGGTATCATAATAATTTATGAATTTTGATTTTAAATTTTAAATCATATTAGAGTTTTATTATACCTACGAGCAGTGGCGTACTTAAGATTTTTTCAGGAAGAGATTAGGTTAGGTTTTACCATCACCAACGTTTCTCAAAAATGTTGATGATTTATTTACTTATTACTTATTATTGGTAAGTACACAATATAACAAAATAAAAGTATCTATAGTATTTACAGAAAATTTTTTATTTGAGAAATAACTAAATAATATATTATTTTGATTTGAAGATTTATTATTTATAATTAATTTTTATAAAACGGAGAAAACTATAAAAATATAATAAGTAGTATTGATAGACATTAAATATATACATTTATATGTGGGATAAAAACAATCAGAAATGGTGCACTATAATGAGTAGTGAATTATTATACTGTATTAAAAATAAAGTAATGCAATAATAAATTATAAAAATATTTCGTATTTTAGTGTTAAAGTTTAATTTTTATTTGAACTCCATTGAGTAATTGGAATTGCTTAGAATACCGAACAAAAATAAACATTTATTTATTACAGTATTATAATATTAGTTTATATTAATTTATATTTTACAAGTTACAACATATCGCTATTAATACAAGCCCCCAGTTCTCACCCTACAATAGGTTTTAAAATAGCAACCAAACATATCAATATTCAATATTATAATAAAATGTAGTTTTTAATAATTTTATTCTGTATTTCTGTAATATAGGAACTAGGTAAGTAGCAAGTACGATATTATTATACTCAAAACCAAGGGAGGATCTATTCTCCATATCCCACTCGAAAATATGTCACTGCCTGCAGGTTATACAAGCATGTAGAGTTCTATATCCCGTTTATTTAAAGTTAAACACATGATAATAATTTTAACAACAATATTATTTATTATTATACATATAATGTGTATGGGTCATGGGTCCCTCTTTCTTAGTTTCTTGAAAATCATAAAATTAATTCATAAAAAAGACGGACTGACTTCATTCTATGAAAATTCTTTATTCTTTAAATAAGATACTATTGGTAAATTTATTGAATTTCGAAGAATCAATAAATAATGTTCGTATTGAAACAATCCTGTGTAGTATACATGATCATAATTTAATGTTGAGTGCATTTTATTAATAAAAAACTTATAAACTATGTTACTAGGTAAAATAAATTCTACTAACATAATTTAAAATAAAATATAAAAATGACAATTTTATTTTTTATGTAACACTAGAAATAAAAATAACTATTATTATTGTTTAATAATACACTTATTCCATATTTTATAATATTTGAGTACCTATTAATAAAACATTTTTTCCGAATTTTATAGTATTTGCGAAATAAGCAATTATCCTATTAATATTTATTTCATCAGTAGGTACGACCTTTTTCAATACTTAATACTGATATATTAGTATAATACCTAACACTGAAACTATTTAGTACCTATTACCATTAATATATTGATTGCATTCAAAATAATTCTTAAATTTTGTATGTTTTCAAAAAATGTTGTGTTCGTTAAAGTTTCTTATTTTCTTTTAGTCACACCCAACTGGAAAATGTTTGATTCATACTTACATGATAATATATTGAAAATAATAATGTACCTATAAATATGTAGATAATAATAATATGAAATCAGAAATAAATAGCTGGAGTGAAGATACATAAACATAATAACATAATTCACACTTTTAAAATACGACCCCGCTGAACGTGATTTGTGATTTTGTGTAACGCAATTGCGTTTTGCGATTTTATCAAAACTTTAAAATAACTATGACATACCCGTACTGAGAGTGTTTGGCGTTTTGCATTTTACAATAAATCGTTTTTAACGCAAATAAATTAAAATATAGTTTGTTTCCTTAAAATTAATTGCTTTTGGCCATACTAAAATTGTAAAAATCGCTGAACAATATCGCTCGCTTCGCAAATCACGTTCAGTGGGACTGTACATTTACAGTAAAAAAGGAAATAATAGTTGGATATTAGCTAAAATCGTTAATATCTACTATCTAACAATAATATTTTCTTTTGTCGTCTGACGGTTAACATATTATTATAGTCATCTAGAATCATAAGCATGAATGTTTGAAGTACATACATATAACGATTAGTTGGAAAATGGCTAAGTACACTGAGTGTGTATTTACCGATTGCGCGTAATAATCGACAAATCTATTTACATCACTCTAGGTTTAATAATTTCTTCAATACTTAGATAAATAATTCCACGTAAAACAAACCACGCTTTTAGATTTTCATAATGTAAAAATTAAAATTAAATACAAGAAAATAATAAAATTATTAGGAACCAATTGGGCAAATAAAAAAAAAAAAATCATTTGTTAAGGTCCCTTCGACCCGGCGGGTCCCAATGCTGTACATTATCAGCACCTATGATTTTTATGGCTCAATATACATATTCTTATATATATTATATTGTTACCTACATCATTATTTATTATTGATTATATAATTAATGTTTTTGTATGAATAAATACAAATATTTTATTATAGATTTGGGTACTGGATAGGCAAAGTCAATAGATATTCCATAGAATTTATTATAATAACTATACTTGGAACTTTATTAGTATTTTAATATTTATGAATATTGAATCTTAAAATATAAAGTACAAGTATTTCGAATATTTTTTAAATTATATTTCAAATACAAAAAAGCGTTTAAATGTAAGAATAACAAACATAGTTATAGAAGAATAGTTACATTTAATGTCGTTATCTTGTTGGCTACTACAAACAACGTTAGATAATTATGTATTATACTCGTACTGAATGCTAATATCATATAATATCATCGACACATATTATTATTATAAAAATATGGTATGAGTTTCATATCAATTATCAAAACCACCATTGCCGCTACTATAATAATAATTAGTTTTAAGATTATCATTTCTATTATAATTCTATACATAAGGTACTTTAACATCAAATACTGGCTCTCTGACTCCTCGACCGTAATCTATAATTTCCCTTTCTCTTATAATGTTATAAATTGGTATGGTCTGTTTTTTCCTTTCGTCCTACTACTTTAGTAACTCTCTCTCTCACTCTCTTGTGTTTTCGCCGTCATAACAAGTCCATTCTGAAAAATGTTTCCTTTTTTTTTTATCTCGTTTAAACTGTTCATGCATGTCACTCTTTCAGATATCACCTAACGTTTTCCTTTTAGAGTTGTAGAGTCTCGCGAAGATGGAGTAGAACGACGTCTTTTATACCCGTGGTGTTTGATGGAATTGGCGGGTAATTTTGTCCTGGAATTTTGTGAGGTAATATGAAATTATAATATACTATAATATAAAAAATATTTCAAGCCATATTAATATCAAATAGCCAGTGTCTACATAGGCATGTGCAAGATTTTGTGTCGGGTACAGCATACATTTTTGCTGGCCTTTAAAACAATAAGCAGTCCACTTTTTCCCTCATTATGATTCCAAGAAATATAGTAATTAAAAAGTAATACTATTTTTGTATAATATAATATATTACTATATACTTTTATAAACATATTAAACATCACATAGGTAATCAGATAAAACTTATAAATCTATAATAGGTAATTACTAATTAATAATAATTAATATTTATACATTACTCATAATATCGGAACTCTTAATAGTTACATAAAATAAAAATAAATAAATAGACTTTCAATATAAGTCTACGATTACTATATAGGTAGCAAATGTTTAAGCTCATCAATTACATCATTAAAATAAATACCAATTAAAAGTTCTTGTTCTATAAACAAAAAAGAAGCGTATCCAATCTTTCTCGTAACATGGTATTTCTTAATTTGTTTTTTTAAATGCTGAGTTTTAAAAAATTACGTTCAAAGCTACAAATAGTGACTGAAATTTAATTATCACAAACATTTTAAGACAGTGAATTTTTTTTTTTTTAATGTTATGTCTAGCATATTCTGTTTTAACCAATCGAGCCATTATTATGTACAGAACTTTATTTAGTACCTCTTGGTGTATCTTCAATAGATTTCAAAAAATTAACTTCGCAGCATTAATCTCCAGCTGAAATTTTAAAATATATGTTTAGTATACCTTTAATGTTTTTTTTTTTTATGTTGAAGTTTCATTTTCATCATCTAGGTTGATTAACAAATCAATAGTATCAAAATTCTGATTTTATCATATTAATTAGTTTTAAAAATATGCTGTATTTCAGATTTATCTTCTAATTTTTTTTAAAAAAAATTTCTTTTTATTTCAGATATTTCTATAATCATTTCATAGCACATTTTTTTTTTTTTTTTTTTTTTTGACTTTCAAATATTGAGTTTATAATTTTGTAATGAAATCAATGACTGTTTGAATGTTTTAAATTTTAATTATCAATATTTATCATAACTTCAGTTAAAAATTCTAAATTTGATGTTTTGGTATTAGTAAGGCAGAATTTATATTTTCAAAACTTGCTGTAATATAACTTGCATCATATATAGACAAAATATAAGACTGAAAGTTTGAAGTTAATATAAAAATCCTAGGTCTTTTGCATGCATTTCAGGAATTAAACATTTGAAATTGATTGCTTTTAATGTTTTAATGCTTAGTACAATATCATAATACTACATCACTGCCTTAAATCTTTCACTTACTTGCTATTAATTCATTTAGTTTAGATTTTTTTTGATTTGAAAAACATCGTTTATTTTATGGCACTTTTCACTAGTTTTCATAGCGGAAATATTTTTTTCATACGAAATTTTTCTTGACCACCGAGTCATTTACTTAATGCAGTAACACTAGTAACAATGAAATAAAAATGTCGGTACTTGTTCAGTGGCGTAGTTATTCCCTCATGATGGGAAAAGATCCCCTCGGAGCCTTAAAAAAAGATAAACCTACTTAAATCTATATCATATAAGCAAAAACAAAGGTTAGGTAATTTCAAAATCTGGCAACCCTAGGCACGACGTGACGTGGTGTTTAGTCTTTAAATGTTTATCCAATAAATTATATATCTTTTCCCCACCACAACAAAATCGTTCATGTACAAATTACAATTATAATAGTAAATTTGGTTATAGTGTGATAATTATATGACTAATTATTATGGGTATCAATTTCGTTTTTGTATCGCTGCGCTGGTTGAATGGTTATTACGCTATTGTGGTTATGTCGCCTACCGCAACGAAAAAGGTCGTATCTCGATTTTATCAACTTTTCAGGGGGAGCAAAATTAATTGGGATTTTCATTTGTTATTTTGTTTTTTATTTTTATTTAGATCTGAAGATCACTATTTTCATCATTTAAGATACTCTAAATTATTATGTTCTTGAATTTAAAAAAAAATTAAACCTTCAGCTTTTTTTTTGAGATACGACCTTAAAAAAATATATTTTTAGGTCGTATCTATACTTACGACTTTTTTCGTGGGAAGTTCATTGCCAATAATAATATCATTATAATATCACTAAGTACCTACAAAATTGTTTTGTGTGGACTTGCAAAGTCGTCAATTAGTGGTCGTAGTGCAAAGATGGGCAGAGGTGGGATCCCTCCCCCCCAAAAAAAAATCTGAAAGGTCATTGCCAACCAATGAAAATTAAAAATGCTTTTGATGTTAAAGTTTAACCATACACCTATTTTACAACCCCCCCACCCCCACAAGAGGAATACCTGAGTAACCCTCATATTGTGGAAATGAATAATGATAATAAGTGCATTGTAAATGCAAAATACAATTTAAAATAGATAATAAATAAATGTAGCAATCAAAAGTTATAACTTTGAACAAACATTTTTTATTAAACTTTAAAAAAAATAATAAGTAGTATTATAATCATAGAAATATTTAAATAAAAAAAACATAACAAACTTGTTAAAACTGTTAAAATACTAGTAGTAGTTATAATTACTCATTATAAAACCAATAACAATATTATAATTTTAAAATATTATAGTAAAGAAAATTACAATATTAAATAAAATAAAACAACTTTAAATTGATTATAATTAATCAAAATAATAAAAAAAAATATCAAATTTTAATTATTATTTTGATTGAAGATCTTTATAAAAGGAATGATAAGTGGATGGGATAAGGCCCATGGAACATAGAGATAGTAAGTCATTATGTTTTTCCTTTTCAATTGGTAATTTGTCCTTATATGCTTTTAAAGGCTTATTATGAGGCTGATACCTTCCTTTTTGTTTATTTTTCAATATATATATATGTATAAAATCTGTAGAATTCAAATCATATCTTAAACATAAATCAAATGGACTTTCAAATGAAACAGAAACTTCTTTGACACCATTCCACTTAATTATATCACCGTTGGTAGATGTTTTGAAGTTAAATTTTTTATTTTCCACTAGAGGCTTAAAATCTAAAAATTCATCATAAGAAACTTCTATTACTTTGAATTCATTACCCTTAACTTTTGAGCATCTCACTAGGGTTACCCATTGTGCAGGCACATAAATTGATTTTCCTTTTTTTGCATGTTCTACACAAGAGTGCATGCTATCACCCTCGCTTTGAGTGTGGCCTCGTTCTAAAAATGTATGTGTTATTTTGACTTTAAATGTAAAGGAAGCATATTCCCACATAGAGTAAATAAATCGGTTGCGATTTTGACCACCGCAGTTGTCCGAATAAAAAGAAAATTCTTTATACCCCTTCTCCTTCATTGATTCAATAAATTTCAACAAACAAGTTCCAATCTCATTTGAACCTCTTTTGCCTTCCGATTCGTCCCACATGTAGCAATATCCTTGTTTATTGCCAATGTCATAAATGGTGAAATTAGAAAGGAGTTATAAAAATAATTCATTATTCACATTATAATATTAAATTGATTATTGATTACTGAACTTGTTATCAAAGCGTCGTATCTGAACGTACGTCTGTTTTCGCGGGAAATAGTTGTAATCAAAGAGTCGTATCTAAACATACGTTTGTTTTCGCGGGAAATACAAATATCAATAAAAATTAAATTAAGACATTATCTAAACTCCTTGGATAGCTAGAGATACGACAGTTTTCGTGGGAGATGAAGAAAATTATTTCCTATACGAATTATAGTCGTAACTGAAAAATGACAAAAATCGAGATACGACCTTTTTCGTTGCGGTAGGCGATGTCTGCATCTAGATACTGTAATCTATGCGCATAGTTTGTACGTCAAATAATTTCTCCGTTAAAATAAAACCCATCTAGTTGTAGACTTCTTATATTAATAAAATGGTATAATCATTTTTCATTTGAATAGAATTATAAATTCAATATGTTTAAAAATAATTAATTCTATGTAAGTATACCTTTCAAATAAATATCCACCAGCCTACTAAATTCAAAATTAATTGTCAGGTGCAGCGAAATCATTGAGCAGCATTCACTGCACCCGTGTGCATGCCTATGAGTATCTACTGTCTTAGGTGGATCTTAGCAATCAGAAATTAGTATCACAAAAATGGTGTATATACATATACACAGTACGATTCTTATTATTCCAACAACGATCTCTCTCACCTCAACCAATTTTGTAACAGACTTTTATTTAGCTCTCATGTAATTTATATGTAGGTACTACTCATATTTTCTCCACTCAAAATGTCTTTGTTTTGTTAACATTTTTATATAATTTACTGTCTTTAAGATGACTAGGTATTCGATAATATAGACCGTTCAAATTCTACTTTTCTTTAAACAGCAGTACCAGAATTTTAATAATTAATGGATGTCAAACTTAAATAGATATACTCGTTGCATAGAAATATGTTTTTTTTTCAGTATCTACATGTGTCGAAGTCAATTTAAAAGTAACAAACCAAAAGTTAATTTTGTTATTTTTTACCGTAATTTTTTTTTTTTAATTTAACAAATTTTAAACGAATTTTAAAACCTGATCATCTTAACTAATCATCCAGCTTCAAAGTACGCAACACGGCAAAATCTTCCAAAAATTTGTAAAATAAAAAATCAAACATGTTAATTTTGTAAGTTTTGTATGTCTATAAAAAATTTTACCTACGTTGTGTTTAAAATTACTATAGATTGATATTTTTTCATTGTTGCTGCAGTTCAAAAGCTCGCTTCTACAAATAAGTATCCTCAATATCACATAACCTTCAAAACTATTTTTTTTAAATACATAGAAGTACCATACAGAACCATAACGACTTAAATTCGACCTAAAGGATAAGCAGCGTTTTTCAAAATTCTATCATATTATAATCAAAGTCTGAACTTTATCATGACAGACTTCAAAACCAAATATCCTGTTAACTTGTGGAAAGATCACGGAATCTACACCGATGATTATATTAAATTAATCAATAGTCATTGGTTAAAATTTTTGCCTCCACATCCAACATCACATTATATTCTTGGACTATTGTATATAGTCATTGTGGTGTTCGGCTGCAGCGGAAACTCCTTGGTGATTTTTATGTACTTTAAGTAAGTACTAATATATTTTTGATATTAAAGCGAGGAATACCTAATAATATTATTAATTAGTTGTCATATTTATGTATATCTACTTTAAATCACAAGAGACTCAATAGTTGTTAGAACTGTATTATTTTTTCCGAAATTGCACAGATAATTCAATATATTATGTGCTTATTTTTAAACACACTTTTCTTAGTAATTTAACTCTTAAAATTTATTTTGATTATCTCAATAAACAAATAGACAAAAATCAAATATGAGCTATTACTAACTGTCTTATGAATTTATTTTTTATTTTTGAGATGGTAACAAAAAATAATATAAAACATTGAAAATATATTTCAGTTATATTTTGATGTTTAATTTTAACAATTATAATTTAAGACTATAGGTAATAAGAATAATATTGATATTCATTAATATCTTGTATTTACCTTAGTCACTAAAAATATAAATAGCAGATAGGTATGATTACGTAAATACAAATAATGATTCAATATGTACCTATAAAATGTTTTCAGATGTAAATCTTTACAAACGCCAGCGAACATGTTAATAATTAATTTAGCCGTTAGCGATTTTATTATGTTAGCAAAAGCCTCGATTTTCATTTACAACAGTTATTACTTGGGCCCTGCGTTAGGAAAATTGGGTAGTTATGACATCTAATGCATTATTATAACATTTAAAACGATATTAATAAAATGTTATTTTAATATCAATTTAGGATGTCAAATATGCGGATTTCTTGGTGGCTTGACTGGAACCGTATCCATCATGACATTAGCAGCTATATCTTTAGATCGTTATTACGTTATAGTGCGTCCTCTGAAAGCGACAGTGAAAACCACTAAACAAAGAGCCAGGATATGGATAGCATTGATATGGATTTTTGGATTTTTGTTCTCCATCGTACCAGTGCTAGATCTGGGGTACAGTCGATATGTATCAGAAGGATACCTGACGAGCTGTAGTTTCGATTATCTGTCAAATGACGACGGAGATAAAAAGTTTATCCTAGTATTTTTTATGGCGGCTTGGTGCATACCGTTCACAATAATACTATACTGTTACATAAAAATACTAATGGCGGTGTGGGTGACCTCCGAAATAGTCACCAGTAGGGTTGGCCAACAAGAAGAGAAGAGGAAAACGGATATACGGTTGGGGTACATGGTGATTGGGGCCCTCATGTTGTGGTTCGTGTCATGGACGCCATACGCCGTGGTGGCCCTACTTGGTGTATTCGATCTAAAGGAGTACATCTCACCACTGGGCTCCATGATTCCGGCACTATTTTGTAAGACGGCTAGCTGTACGGACCCGTGGTTTTATGCCATTACGCATCCAAGATTCAAAAAGGAACTAATGAAGCTATTGACAAAAAGCAAGACTAGTGAGTTGGTCCGAAATGATGGCATGCAAAAGGGATGGGTCAGGTCACATTTGGATAAAAACGGAAGTATTACCTTTGAGAACCATTTTAAAACCGTTTATAATAGTAAAAAAAAAACGATATTCGTACTTGAATCTGGTGACAAAAACTTTCATTGTCGGCAATCCACTTTTGATCGTAAAACTGAATCAATCAATGAAACTGAGATCAAGTTCCCTGGATGTGTTGCTAATGAAGAAAAATATAAGTTTATGCTTTCCAGCTGATATTAATGTACTAAAGTAATTGCACAGGGTCACGCCACATAAATAAAACATTAATACTAGAAATTCTACTTGAAAATATAGGCAGAAAAAGCGAAAACAATAATAACTAAGTAAAAAGTATGAAACTATAGCAAAAAGTCGAATTCTCTTATAAAAATAAATACTATAATTACTTACATATAATTGTGAAATATATCTGATGGATTATGACTAGAGTCAAATAATTGTTAATTTTTATACATTCATCATGTTTTTAAAAATTGAATATTAAAATTTTTTATTATAATAAATATTTTAAAAGTATATACATATTATGTAATTATATAATACATGTTTATATATTGAGAGCTGCATGTTAGCTGAGATGTAATAAAGACTAAGCATTTAAAAAAAATGTGTATTATAGTTTGAGTCGTAATATTATCAAGTAATATTTTAATTTTCTTTGCACAATCCTTAAATTTTTTGTGGCTTCTCACCAGCAAAACATTTTTTTCGTATTTATTGCAAATCACTTCTACTAATATTTATTATTTATTAACCTGTCTATATATATATTTCATAATTCCTAATAAACTGTTTTCTAATTATGTACTCATATTTTAAATTTTAAGTTTTAGCTTGTGTCATCAAGGTATGTATTTCATCTTTTTCATATTTATTTATTGTAAATGATATTTGTTTTGAGTTTCACGATTACGTATTATATAAATATTTTATATAACTATCCACTCCCATACCAATTTAAATCTTACCTATAACTGTAGGTACCCTAATTATAACCTCACAGTGATATGGATTAGGAACCACGTATCACGTTATTTATTTTTTTTACTTTTTATTTTTATTTTTTTTATTATTAAATAAACTGTTTGTTGTTCCAAATTTACTTATAATTTATTTTAATTATACAAAAAGAATTTCGAAACTAATTATATTTCATTAATACATGACACGTTGTTAAAAATAACGATTATTCTACTTGTTTTGATTATTTTTTTTTTTTTTTTGGAACTTGTGTAAAATATATTATGTTAAATTGCTATAAATTTTATATTAAATAGAAAAAAAATCATGCAGATAAAAAAATTTATCGTAAAAAGAAAAGCGATTCCACGATTTTAACAATTTACTGTATTTATTAATCTATTAATTTCTACCATGCTATTAATAGATATCAGATTAATGATTATATAATATGTATAAAATACAAAAACATGTTAACCTACAAAAACTATGTAAAATGGTGATTTTAATTCTTCAAAGTATCGATTAAATTTGGAATCTTTATCAAACCGAGTTTTTATTTAAACAAATTTTATCATACAGTGTAAAGGCGTTAAATACATCATAGGTAGTTATAACTTGTTGTATCATTTATTACTTAATTTTCTATTATTTAAAACGAGATAATATATAAAGAATTTAAACATTTAAATCCGTAAAATCCATATTCCATAATCACAAAATCAACAAATGTATAAAATTTCCCAACTGTAGGTACCTATACCATAAATAAAAAAAAAAAAACAAAAAAACAAAAAAAACGTCGTTGGTATGAAAATGAAATAATATTGATAGTTATATTATGGCACAAATTATGACTACACGACCCCGTAACACAGAATAATCGTCACGTTTAAGTAGTTGTGGTAAAAAAAAATAAACATACAAAATTTTAATAATTAAGAAATGACTTAAGCAGTGATATAGCTGTAATTTTTTAGTAAATATGACTACGCTTAAATGTGCTTGATATATAAACGTGAGGGATTCATTCCCTATACCATTCTAATATACTACATTATTATTATTTTTACATTTATAATTACATAGATATACTATGTCACTTTATTACTACCATGTCGCAATTGAGTCTCTACAGACTACAATCATACTCCTAGAAACATATTATACATTTTAATTTTTTATGATAACACTTAAATAATAAATAATTAAGTAGTATTAATTTTTAAATAGTTTTAATCAAATAATCAAATAGAATTTTTAAGTTTTAATTATTCATTTTATTGCAGGTTAATAAAAACAAGAAACAAAATTAAAGGAAAATATTAAAATACATCTCATACTCTTTGAAATCACTACAGATTACTGTTAAATTTATTATCTATTTAGGCACCTAACATGCTTAGCTTACAAAATAATAAGCAAACGAAAATTAAAAAAAAGCATATAAACAAGTAAATTAATTATACGATTTTCCACACGCTAGATTTTTCTTCATTTAATTTTATCCGTGCAACTTTTCAAAATCTGTTAGCATCTTATCAGTTACATGTATTAAGTTTTCCCACAATGTATCTAAATAATTGTATACAGTCAGTATACCTTTGTTGTAAAAATGTACAACAGATATTAATGTCTAATTACAAAGTTGTACTGTTATATATTATACTAAAAATACTAGGCTGTAACCCATAAATGCAGAAAAAAAATACTTTTTTAATAAATCATAAACACAAATAAATTTTACAAAAATAAAGTGTATTTTATAATTTAATAGTTTAAGTTTATGCTGTATATATTGTGTAGTTATCTTAAATGATAATCAACCCTCACCGTAAATCGTTACAAATGTTACAATAAAATACTATGATAATACAAAACTTTAACTGAACTCGATCACTGTTGACGTATTTTTGAATTATAAAAATACTATACATTTAATTAAAAAGAATAATTTAATTTAATAATTAATAATTAATAATTTTAAAATAAAATTTATAGTATAACGAGTACGATATTTATTTTTACGCTTTTATTTCACTGCTGAGGTACAAAAGCGCAAAATGAATTTGCGTTTTTGGTTTATCGAAATAAATTAACAATTTACGTTTTTGGGTTTCACCAAAATAGTATAGAATATCTTTAATATTAGAAACTGTTTTGATTATAAAAACCGTCAAATCAATAAGGTTTGTTCGACATTTTATTTATTAATTAAAAATTATTTATAAAATAAATGCATTTCCATACGCGTATACCCGCGTTTCATGTGTTATTCTATAAGTATACGCACTTACAGAAAAATAGAGAAATAAGTACCTATACGTTCCACTACACCACTACATCACATACGTGATTGTTAAGAAAACCAGTCGCGTAATGATCTGATTGGAGGGTGTAATTGTTGACCTAAATAGCCTCCGTATATAATTATACCGAAGGTAACATTAGATTTGATAGTATTTTATAGTTCAACCCAATTTACACAACAACCAATGAGCAACAGTGGTCAGTGCTAAAATATTTTAATTAAAAATATAATTTCATATCAATAATGAAAATATCTACTGTAGATACGATTTTGCTTTCATATAATTTATATTAGATAATAATATTATTGTCTTATTCTGTGATTATATTATTCATACTTCAACGGATTTATTTTACAGTTTGACAGAGAAATAAAAATTATTAAAGTGTAAATATATGTATGTATTTTTGCACTAAAAATAGGCAAAATATACACAAAAAAATCAAAAATGCATTAAATTTACAGCACTGGTCATTAGTCATAAACTCATAATAGAAAATTATTACGCTTTACATCATATTCCTTCTAAGGAACTTAGAAGTCCTAACTTCTAGCTAAGGACTTTCTGTAATTCTGTCAAATCATATTCTGGTATCATAGACTGGCAGGTTTAAAAATTCTAATTGAGTTATCTAATTTGGAATAGCTTTCTAATAGTTAATAAGCCATAGCCTATCATTATTTACAATTTTATTAATTAAAAAAAAATATAGTTACAATTAAGTCCTTAAAATAATACATATTAAAAAATAAGCTCAAATAGTATTTATTTATTTTATATTGGTACGCATTTGCATTAAATGTGTAAAATGTGTTAAAATGTCAATTTTCCTAGATTTATAATCAGAGTATATTTTTTTCATATAATTTTGTTTTTTTAATATTTTGTTTCTACAGGTATTTTCTTTATTTTTTTTTTTTTTTTTTATTGAATTAATATTTAAATCAGTATAGATTTAAATTTCTATTAATATTTGAAGTGTTAGATTAAAAATAAAGTAATAAAGATTAAAGCTTTTTCAAAATGACTCATGTACTTGGCGAACACAGTAATCGCGATTATTATAACGTATTATTACAGATATGAGATAGGTAATAATAGTAACAACTGGTGAGAAACCACGATTAAAAATAATTGTTATACTTAAAGACACCTTTATACACCCAAAACTGTACCAATAAATAGGTTTCCATTATTCACAATTTTGTGTGCAAAAGAGTTTTTACAAATTTATGAAATCTATTGGTATGTGTGCAAATGAGTCTCAACCATTTTAATCATACAAAGTATAATCATAGGCGCGCGTAAACTCCAAAAGTAGATAATGCCCATAAATTATTATCAGCCTAATATGATAAAATTATTAGACTTTTTTTTCAAGCTTAATGTGCTTTTAATATACACATAATAGAAAAATACAAGTTGCACACTACCATACATCATTACTAAAAGTAGTCACGGCGGGTTAACATTTAAGTTGAAATACAATCAAAAAGGAAAAACAAATGAATACTATTATCGATAATAGATAATCACAAGTTTTTCTTTGTAAATTGTAAATTGAACAATTGGTTACTTAGTACCTACGCTCAATTGTATTACAATTATTATTCAGAAGACGTCGCATCCGCACGTTTTGTCTCCGTCTTACACACGAACGACATGGTAAATTTTTGTTCACCAGTTTTAATAGTGTGTTTTTAGTTTTGATATTAGAATGAATTGAACTATCATCAAAGTTTTAAGTAAGAGCATTATCTGTGTTTTCTCGTTGGTTTTTTACAATATTTTAATTTTTAAGTAAATTATAAATATGAAAAATATAAGTATATGAAAATGCTCATAACTCATTTAAAAATTAAAATATTGTAAAAACCAACGAGGGAATACAAATAATAATGTTCTTAATTAAAAGTTTGATAATAGGTCAATTCACTCTAATATCAAAGCTAAAAATACGCTATTGAAACTGGTGAACGAAAAATTACGATGTCGTACGTGTGTAAGACGGAGACAACACTTGCGGGTGTGACGTCCACTTAACTCTTAGCAATTCTTAATATATAAATATATAATACTAGTTACTATACGTCTACACGTTAAACTACTTACAGACTTATAGACTCTTAATAATACAGTGTACTACTGTGAATTATCCTAATTTTTCAAATTTGCTCTAAAAATATAATCTATAATATTGATTTTGGTAATCAAGGTATATTTATTGCAATTAATATTGATATATGGAAAATTTTATTGAGATATTGGACACATAAACTAAATAATTATTATCACCATTCACCAATATCGATAAGCGACAAAGTGACATATGACTCATATGTCAAAATTAAGGGGCGACGAAATATGGAACACGTACAATTGTATAGTGTCCAATTTGAGTTCTATTATGTGATGATGGTACACCCCTAAATAGATATTTGGTTTACAACAGTTGTGTTTTAGCTGACAAAATCAATAAACCGACATGATGAAAATCCATTAATAAATATTTAAAACATTATTATAATCTATTTTGAGACGGTGCTCAAGAACGGTGCGCCGCCTTGAAATAATTAAATCCTCAGACTTTAGGTAATCAGTCTTCATTTTTTATTTAAAATGTAATAATTTGAACACGTATGGGAGGGGAGGGGTTTGTATCGCACGCCCGGCGATTCGACGCCTTCAATTCGGCGGGCTAGATACTCAATAACAATTAGGGAATTGTTTTCGATTGTACCTACCATTAGAAGAGGTGGGACACATCTCCCTCGAATAAAGTGGCGTTTGATTATAAGGTTCGACCGGGTTGCGTGACAGAAGCAGGTGCGCTCGAGAGGACTAAAATTTGAAGGCCCCGAAGGGCCATTTAACGGTCTCCAGTGGTTATTACTGTACGGATATCAGCCGTACAGAAGAAAAATTGTTTATTCGACGGTTAGGTTATCTATCCAAGACACCGTAGGTGCTTAGTCCACGGAGATTGGTACGTTCGTCGGACGTCTGGCCAAAATCGTTACCAATTTTCGATTAACACTGAGAGGTGCTCATGAGCGGCGCTGGTCCGATAGTTGTTCTGGATAGTCGTCACTAAATCGCTGATAATTCGATGTTTTGAAGTTTCTTATTTCAAGTCCAATTCCCTGTGAAGTACTTTTGTTGATTGTTTGAAGTGTTGAAGAAGAGTGACCAATTTGAATTCCCGGCAAACTAACCAGTATATATACCTATTTGTCGATTTAATCTAACTCCTAATTGGTCAATCAATGTCGTTTAGACGCATTATCTGCGCATGTTTCTATAACACGTACAGTTTAAACGATGTTGTTCTTACTTGTAATTATAACCAGTTACTTCCAATAATATCGTTGGCTTTGAGAAAAGTCGTTTTATTAGTTTTGCGTTGTTACAACTTACTTTATAGTAGGAACTTATTGACTTATTAATTTATACATTTTGAACTCAAAGTCCAATTGTTAATCTGATTACAGAAGTTAGAACTTTACTCGAGTTTCAACATAATACATTGAAATAACATAATTTAAAACTTAAACTGACTATGTAAGTTGCACTTTTTAAAATAATACTTAAAAAATTATTAAGTAAAATATGCCTTGGTATAATATACTATTTAATGTTTATAAATATATGTTATATTATGTACCTATATAACACAATTTATTTGTTTCTTTCAAATTGTATTTCAATACAAAATCTATTTATTTTTTATGTCCGACCATTAATTGCACTACATCAGTAAATAATAATGTATTAAAATACATTAACAGTAAGTACATATTATTATAACTAAATATAAAATAATATACATTAATATAATAGAAATTAACTGATCATTGTATTTTATTGCAATGTTTAATGACTAAAAGTTTTTATGAAATGCAAGCATAGTTATTTTCCGCAAAAACCAATATTTTTATACAATATTATATATTATTGTTGATGACAGGTACATTTTAAGATTATATCTTATTATTTATTAATAATACATTTCTAATCAATATTATCCTTCCTATAACATTTTTTAGTATGATTTTTTAATTAAACGAGGTAGAAATCAACATGAGCAAATATGATTAAGATAATGTTTTATACAAATCAATGAGATTCCAATTTGTAATTTATTAAATTTGTTTTAATTTAGTTACATACAATGATTGATAGAAAGAAAAATAACATGCTGACAATTTTTAAATTACTTACAGAAGTAATTTGTACAATTTATAATTTGTAAGTCTTACAATATTTCAAAAATATTTTTATGATCAAACATTAATGTAAAACACAATTGGACAGTGATCACTACCTAGTACTTCACTTCTTATAACACTATCACATACATTATCCATGAATCTTTTTGATGATATAAAATAATCCAGTCTCCTAAAAAAAAAAATTTAACCATTACTATTTGACATTTATAAATACAAATTATCACTAGTAAGGAATTTCTGTACACTACACTACAGCCAATAATAAAAAAAAATCAGGGACAAATGAGCCAAGTGCCCTCTCTCCTAGCTATAATACTGAGAATAATATACTTAGATACTGATACAGATTTTTACAAGATAATGCAATTTATTACTCATAAAATGCCAATCTTCAAAACAATTTCAAGTAATAAATCATATTCAATGTTATATTGGTTAAATTCTTATAAGAATTTTAAAAATATAAATTTTAAACAGTGAATTATCAATATCTATCTATGAGCAATAGAATTAGTAGATCATTGAAATAAAGTTATTTGATACCTTGATATAAGCATTTATTTTAGTTACTATTTAAAATATTTTAACTATCACATTGAACCACTTAACTGTCAAAAATAATTACAACATAGTTTAAATAAAAATAATTAACTCATTATTTTATAAATTGTATTACTTACCATCCAACATTTTTAGCTCTTGCATTATGAAAATATGTCCAAAAAGTGTAGGCTCCAGTTTTCTCAGGATTTAATGTCCTAAATGTATCAATGAATCCTTGTTCAAGAAGTAATGACATATTATCTCTTTCTTCTTTAGTAAAACCTGCACTTTTTGTATTTGTTTTTGGGTTTGCAATATCTTAAAGCAATAAAAATACTTTAATTTATAATTGGCCACTCAGACCAGTTTCCCAACCTTTTTGTAATGGCGACCCATAAATTTACTGCTTGTTGGTTACACAATCCACCCCCACCAACACAAAAAAAAAAATGTTTGTATTGTACTGAACTGCCTGATGAAATTGGCTAACTGTTACTACTGGATATGGTTTTACAAACAATACATTTAACCATTAGTAAATTAAAACTTAATATGTGTTATATAAAATTTAAGTATTTAAAAATGAGTGTTTAATCGTAAACTAAAACTTTTTGTTTGTACCTACTCTCTAGTCTCTATGTACTACTTATTTCTCAACTGCATGGACAATTGACCGATACCATGTCAACAGCCATTAGCACATATACTGATTAGATAAAAATATAATACAAACTTTACTAGACATATTGATATCTTCATTGTAGAATCTACAATACTAGCAAGACTAGCAAATAATTATTATAAATAGAGGTATTTATTTATAAATTAGGCATTTATAAATTTTCTGTTAAAAATTATTTTCATGTATATTTTAATTATAGATCACGACTGGCGACCCATAAAAAATATTTCACAACCCATAGATTGGGAAACACTGACTTAGACTCGTGGTTCTCAACCGGTGTGTCATCGAGTAAGTCCAAATGTGTCGTTGAAGTACTAATATTAAATTACACAACATTTTTTAAATAGGTCTTTTTTTATATTGTATCCATGAGTCACCTGGGTTAGTAGGCCAGTATCCTCCCAATCTGGACCTGAGTGTATAGCCATTTCTATTGATTTAAATTAGGGTGTCGTCATACAAAAAAGGATAAGAAACCACTGACTTGGATGGTAGTTCAAAGTAAATACTAAAACAAAATTTAATAAAATACCAATTTCTTCATGAGCAACATTCAAATCTCCAGTTAATACAACTGGTTTCTTAGTATCCAACTCTTTCAAGTATTTACGAAATTCCTCATCCCATTTCATTCTTTTTGGTAAAGTTTTTAATCCTGCGCCTGCATTTGGAATATCTAAAACGTTCAATCATTATTAACTAAAATTATTGAAAAGTTTAATGGTTTGGAATATTACAAGTAGAAACCAAGAAAAATTGTTCATATTCAGCTTCAATAACACGACCTTCATTATCATCCAACTCTTTTATTTCTTTTCCCATTCTCACACTAATAGGCTGTTTTTTAGAATATAAAGCTACTCCTGAGTAACCAGCCTTGTCACCTGTAAATAAAGTTATTATATTCTTCAGTTATATCATAAATTATTTTAAAACTTAAGTTAGTTATAAAATATTGAAATATTAACTGTTTAAAACCAATTTTATTATATAAATTTTTTGAAAATTAAATATAATTAATTTAAACATACCAATATATACTAAGATAACAGTTATCAAACACTAAATATATTTTAAGTTCTTACCTGAATTAATGTATACTTTGTATCCAGGTAATTTTGCTTCATCTGGCATTTGTTTTTCAGTACACTTAATTTCTTGCAAGCAAATTATATCTGGATTTTCTTTTTTAAGATATTGTACAACATCTTTCTAAAATATATTAACATAAAAACAAACATTGAAGTATGATAATGGCTAAATTGTCTTCATACAAGAACATACATAGAAAAAAGTTTTGGGGAGTATTTTTGAAAATCAGTTAAGTAATAAAAATTAGAACTTTTTTTTAATAAATATAAGAAATACGCAATAGGTATACCTAATAGGAAATATACCAATACAAAATAGGTATAGTTTTATTTGTTTTCAAATTAAATTGAAATTTTAATTTGTTACCTACTATTAAATTTTTATTTTGCTTAAATAAAATGTAATATTATACCTGTCTAAAAGTATAATATAACAATTAACATTTAAATTAAATAAGTAATTAATCATACAAATAACAAAATATTTCAAGGGGTGTTTGAACACCCAAAACACCCCCCTATGTAAGTCCTTGTCTTCATATAATTATTCACCTTCAGCCATGCTCTAAGACCAGCAACATTCCATGAAACAATTTTTAGATTCCAAGTAAGGCCTTTAGCATTTTTTTTTTCACAATCAAAATTTATTTTGTTCAAATCAACTTGTTCCGATTTGGGCTTTTTAGATTCTGAATCATCTCCGTCGTTATTTCGGGCTCTTTTTTTTGAGTTATCTGCTGTTGTTGTGATATAATCAGCCATTTTTTTTTGTTTTGTCTTACCACTCATCATATAAAATATAATTTTTCTAATCTGAAAATAATAACAATACATAACTTTTTTTTTTACAATACATAATGATACTGATTAAAACTTTTGAAACACGTTTACAAATCTAATAACATTTATTAAAAAAGACAACCATTGTATTAATAAACAATTAAAAATCAATTGTTCCTCACTCATATTATAAGAGGTTGAAAGTTATTTATTGTAATACAAGTATCATTGATACGTTCTATACAATCAAAAATTAAACAAATCATTATTTTTAAAAATGTTACTAAGTATTTAAAAATAGTTACATGATACTTGCACATATCTTTTTCACTTGAATATCTAACTAGTCACTATGCCTAATTATTTCTTATTATAATACTATTTTGGAATACTTCAAATATATGTTAATAGGCTGTCTCAATTAATAATTAGTTAGTTTATTTCTACAAGCTTATTAAAAACTAAATATAAAATGCTTGTAATTTATTTAGATATAATATGTTAAATTGTACTCAGTTTAACCGTTTTGTCAATTTAAACATCAAACTCTCATAATATTCCATTATTAAAAGTTTGTAAATCACAATACACAATATCAGAAGTAAAAAATGTTTTATTATTATGACTAGAAAAAAATAACGCTAAGAAAGACATTAACAAATATCAATAATTCACAACAGGTGAAATTAATTTTTAACATCATACAATTAAAATAATTTGAAGTATTGTTTCTAATATTAAATAGCATATTTAAAACTGTTGTATTTTTTCAACAAAAAAAACTTAGGTATTACCTATCATTAGCCATAAAAACTAAAATGTACAGTGAAATTTGGTACTTTTAGAGTTTGGATTTTATTTTTTTCATTAATTCTTACACTTTATTTTTAAGATTGTACACCGTTTAATTATTGTACATAATTATATTAGAGAACTCAACATAATATAAAGAAATAATTGATTAAATCTAATGTTATAGATACCATTAATACTAACAATGAAGTTATAGATCTAGTTATCTACCATTAAGAAAAATGTATAAACTTTAAGAAATAGGTATTAGGTAAATAAAATTACATGAGAAATAGATAAATTACAAAAATCATGAATAAATTAACATTTAATAATCACAATAGTGGTACTGGTAAACAACATGTTTAAAGATGAATATTAAATAAAAAAAATATGTTAATATAATTAATTTGTATTACACAATTTATTAATAACTGTACAAAGCACAATTTATTTTGTGTTTGACAAATCAGCATTGAAACAAAGATAAATTCTTGAAAAAATAAATAGGTATGATTAATGTATCAACCAAGTGTTTATAAAATTAAAATTAAGTTAAGAATAATTTTCAAAAAGGTACTTAATTCTCACTAGGTTAAGTGTCTAATATTCTTATTGACTTATGATTTATTCGATAGAAATAATATAATTAATTGTTAAATATTATCATGTACTTTACATGCAGTTTAAAAGCATAAATAAATAAAAATTAATTAATTAACCTAACCTACTTAAAAATAAAAACTAATTAAGTGACAAGTATAGTATAAATTGTTGTCTGTCAATAACTAATAGTATACAAATATATTGGACCAAATAAAAATAAACATTTCTAAATAAATACAATGAAGATCTTAATTCTCAATGCACTAATTTATAATCATTATTTTTATGTTTTTGAGTAATGTCACACATTACAAAAATTATTGAGGATACCATTTTATAATATTCAAAGTTTTTGTCAATTTGTCTTAAAATCCAATATTGTATTAATACAATTTAATATACTAAATTTAAATTTATAAAATTATTTTTTTTTTTTTTTAATTTTTAAGATGAATAAAAAATCAAATAATATTATAATAATGCTAATATAATATACATAAAATCTTAAAAACATTATACTCAATAAATTATGGAATACTTGGGCAATTTTACTCAAAAAATATAGAAGAAAACGATTTTTATCAAAAAGTGTTATGTGTATGTATGTTGCGAGTAAGTCAGTAGTAGAAAAAATATTGCATTAATAAAATAATATCCTTTTATGTTTAAATGAAAGAATGAAAGAATGCGATTTTAATTTCAAATAGAAAATATATACGACTTAACTGTATGGTAACTCGTTGCTATTTTATAAATAATGTAAAATGTAAATATAATGCTTACTGCTTAGATAAAAGATCTGGAACAAAATAAATAATAATTGCAATGAACTCAAACTTATAATTTTGTGACTCGTGCTAGTTGTGCAGTTTAGCGCAATTCACAATACCTATACTTATGATAACTCGGAATTTTACTTGAGTAGTCAAGTTTGGCGCCTCTGGCTTTTTGAGAGTTGTTGAAAAATAATTGATTACAATTTACGATCGATAACGTATTGTATAAACATTTCAAATGTCATATTTATCCGATTTGGTAAGTTTTGTTTATCTTTACGTTTTAAATTTTTGATAATAATAGTATTACCATAGTATTCAAAATCCGTTGCGGCATCCCTACTCCAGCGCCTCACTGGTCGATCTCGTCTACGAAGCAGCCTGGGCTACGGGTTTAGAATTACCTTATTTTGATAAGTATTCGTCCTTATCACACACCATCAAATATATTATACTCTTCAGACTACAACTCTCCTACAATTACAATAGCCTACTTAACATAGTTACATAGTACATACCTATATACAGCCCATGTGTATTAGTTATTACTTATTGCTCTTCGTTACCTTAAAATGCATACCGTGAAAAAATTTAATTGACTTTCTATGGCTTTTGTAATTTGTAAATAGTTGATAAGGTAAACATAGTTCATGACTATAGGTAAATGCAAATTAAAATATTTTGTACTTAAATATCAATATATTAATTATTCTTTCTTTGATAATTTCCATTTCATAGTTACCCACTAACGTGTCAACAATACATTTATATAGCTAATTAGCTTCTTCCTACAATAAGTTTACTGCTTTCAATGTTCTAGTTTCAAATTGAAGAGATTGTTCTCATTTTATATTCAGTAATGAATAGGATAGTAAACTGATGGCTGATCAAGCAAGCGTTGATTCTAGTGAATCTATTAGCACCAGTGATGATTATGAAATTATTCCTTCAAGTACATTGAATGTAAAATCATTATCTCATTTATTACAAGTTGATTCAATAATATAAGTATCTATATGATTTTTTAGAAATGTGATGGTAAACCTGAGTTGAACATTGGCGGAGACGGTGATTTGGAACATATGCAGAAATGTCTTGGTGAATTATTGGATGAAGAGAATGAACGTCAATCTATAAAAACAATCATGGCTGATAAAGATATTAAAAGTAATACATCATTGACAAAAATATCAGATCCTGTGTCTGATGATCTAGGTAAATATATTTGAAATCATCTTTGTACATATGTATATTAGGAATTTATATTTTATATTACGTAAAATATTTGAGAATCTATATTTAAAAATATAATACATTTTAATCATAAATGTTATAAATATTAAGGCATTATGCCTGTATTATCTAAATAATAATTTAGGTCAAATTGAAAAAGGTACAATGTTTGATGGAATTTCATATCTGGGTTCAGCTAGTATAACATATCCTAAAGATAAAACCGAAATATTAAGGATTATGGCTATATTAAATGGAGAACATGTTGTTGATCAAGATATGAAAATATCAGTGTCTATTCCAATTTCATCAGATGGAGCTGTTATGTATGTAGTTTAAATTTTGTACCATATATAGTATATATAAGTTGTATTAGTATTTAGAAAAACTACACAAATATAAATTTATTAATTATAATATGTTTTATTAATACCTATTTAAAATTATATAAATTAATTTATCATGTAGTTTATTTGATGGAACAACCAATACAATAATAGCTCGTTATGAGATTGAAAGAATTATGTTTTATGCTAATGGTGTTAATGGAACAAAAGAAGCATCATGTTTTGCATTCAGCTGGGCACATGGTGACACTAAAGAAAATGCACTATTTCAATGTCATGTTTTTCGTTGCTCAATTCCAGAAGCTGTAAGTTTTTTATCATTTATGTGTATTTATTTTTAATTAATTAAAATAAAATGGTTAATTAAGAAATAAATGTTTAAAATTAAAGAATATAATGATATATATCATTATAAGATTATAAAACCAATTTTTTTTAAATTACTTTTATTTTTAACAACTTGCATTAGTGTTTTACACATTAACATTAAATTACATTTGATAGATTTTTATTTCACATGAAACTTGGATGCCATAAATACAATATGCATTTATCTGGTATAACAGTTGTTTAAACAATTTGTTTTGCTATCATAATGCTCATATTATATGACAGGTGAACCGTGTATCCAACTGTTTTGTGAAGGCCTTTCAAAAAGAATCAAAATTTACTTCAAGTTCTATATCACCAGAGTTAAGTTCTAATATAACTTTAGATATGCAAAGTAAAAACAGTTCAACCGAGATTTTTATTTTTGAAGTGAGTTTGGAGATCAAAGAAGATGATGGAAAGGTAACACACTTACAATAGTTGTTAAAAAGAAAAATATTGTGATCAATAGATAATCTTATTTTTATACAAATGAATATATATGTAATGTATGTATACAGGGAGGATTTATATCAGTACCAAGAGATAAAAATTTTCTTAAACTTCGAGCAAATGTAGAAAAACAAGTTTGTTTAACTATTAATCAAGTTGTATCTAGAACTCAGCAAAGGATATTGCATTTGGAAAGATGTTTTGGAGTACTTGTGTGTCCTGGTCGTAATGTAAAGCAAAGCGATATGCAACTTTTAGATATGGTAAATTTTTATATTTTGTATATTTTTTTTTAGAATATTATTACTTATAAATTATAATTAACCTAACATTAGGTATCCATGGGAACTGATTTATCAGACTCTGACGGATGTAATACCATTTATTTGATTACTGGCCACTGGGATCCTTCAGACAAGGTGTTTGAACCCTTAAATAGTGAAACTCAATGTTCCTATATTACTGTAGCAGTAGATTTAGTTATGCGAAATATTAAAGAACCTGTACGATTATCTATAGAAACTCCTATCAAAGTATATGCTGCCAATGAAAGATTTTGGGTGTTTGGACGAAGACAAGTTACTCATCAGTTTTACTTGAATTTGCAACAAGTATGTTATTATAAATTAATTTGAAATGGTCTTAAACAACTATTTTAAATTTTAGATTAATTCAGGAAATTCTGATATCGATTATAAACTTTTGAATATTGATTCTTCTGGTGAAATGGATAAAAGTCGCTTGAATATGACATTAAATAATTTGGCTAATTTCATTAAAACTCAGAGTATTAACTCAATTGAACTGTCTTCTCCTAAAGATGAAGATTTGTCTGGTAATTTGATAATAGTTTGTTTTACTATTTTGTTTTATTAATGAATTATGATAAAAAGTGTATTGATCATAAATATTGTTATTCATTGATTTTCTATATTATATATTTTATTTTAGTTATTCATTTATAATAAATTAAAGCATTTAATTTATTGATGTTAATATATGTATGTATATTTTAATCCATTTAAAAGATAATGATGAGCCTTTGGTAAGTGGTACTGGAGATGTTTCTAAAGAATGTAATGAAGTAGAATTAGAATCGTGGAAAGATGTTTTGTTAAAATGGGCAACATGTAAATCTCCTCCTGCACGACAATTAGCTATACTTGTCAAAGAAGGTATACCTGAAGCTTTACGTGGAGAAGTATGGTTACGTTTAGCCAAAGCTGATTTAGACCCAAAACTCATGGATACATATAGAATACTTATTACTAAGGTAGGTAATAATATAGTAATAGTTTTAATTAAATTTTGATTTTTGAAGCTAAGCATTAACTAGAAAAAAAATAAAAATGTTGATTTAAATTTACATTATTATACATTTTACTTTTTATATTTTCTTTAATTTTTAAATTTCTTCTTTATTAATATTTTTGTTGAAATATATAAATCTATAGGATTGTGAATGTGGAGGAACCATTCAACGTGATATCCATCGAACATTTCCAGCACACAATTTCTTTAAAGAAGCTGGAGGTATTGGTCAAGATAATTTATTCCATCTAACTAAAGCATATGCTGTATATGACACTGAAGTGGGGTATTGTCAAGGTCTAACATTCTTAGCTGCTACCTTACTCTTACATGTAAGAGATTTTCATTTGTCTTTAATAACGAATATTATTACATAAATGTTAATTATATTTTATTGGTAAATATTATAATTTTCAATTTAACTTAGATGCCTGAAGAACAAGCCTTCTGTGTTCTATTAAAATTAATGTATGATTACGGCCTACGTGAGTTTTACAAAGATGGTTTTGAAACAGTTTACTTAAAACTTTATCAACTGAATAAGCTCATGGAAGTTAGTTTGATTATTAATGTAGTTTAATTTTTTCTCATACTAATTTTTATTTTTTATTCAGGAACAAATTCCTCATCTTTTTAATCACTTCAATGCTAATGGAATTGAAGCTCATATGTATGCTTCACAATGGTTTCTTACACTTTTTACAGCAAGATTTCCATTGTTTTTTGTATTTCGCATAATGGATGTAGTACTTCTTCAAGGGCTGGACACATTATTCCAAGTTGCTATTGCCTTATTACAAGTATATGATCAATAGTTTAAACTAAAAATATTGTTATAAATGTATTATACTACTGTTAATTATTTTTAGTTTTGCAAAAAAGACTTACTACAATTAGATTTCGAAAATATTCTTAAATATTTTAGAGTGACAATGCCAAAAAAAGTACGTAATGAAGAAGTTGCCAGGCATTTAATAAAAAATGCGTGTGCTATAAAACTAAAAAAATTAAAAAAATATGAACAACAGTTTTTGGCTTTGAAAGGTAAAATATGTTACTAACAATTAGAATTTATTAATTGTTTTAAAAATTAATTGATATTTAGAAGCTCAAGAGAGTGCTGAAAATTTTACTAGTGAATTAGATCAAGTAAAAATGACATTAAAGCAGACTGAAGAAGAAAAAACTCGCCTTGAAGAAGAACTAACAAGAGTAAAATATTTGTTGTTGAATAATATTATTATACATTAAGGGTAGTGATTATTATATTATTGATTTAAGGTGAAAAATATATTGAAAAAAGAAATTACAAAAGCAGATACAGAAATTAACAGAGATCAAACAATTATTAAAGAATACAAACAAGTAATTAACTATAAAATATAGTTTGATAATTTTTAATAATTAATACCAATATTAATAAATATTAATATTGGTATTAATATTAACAATACTAACAACATTGACAAGTATTGTATTTTTTTTCTACGCTTTTATCATATAATGTCGGTAATTAAAGATTATATTTATGATTTGGCAAAAAATGCTTTGTAATTTGGACATTAAAGTCATTATAAATTGT